TGATTTTCAGACTAGCAAACTGTTCGAGGTGCATGACGGTAGTTGGTAATTATGAATAACCAAAATAGGAAATAATATGCGCGCTGAATATGGCATAGAAATGATGATCCGAGCAAAGATTTTCATTAGGAATCAGTGCTTACCACCTGAAGATTGTTGAATGCAGAGAGTTTTATAATTCTTTAGGCGCAACAAAATGACTTAATAGTTGCAGACAGAAAATAATCTCTAATCGGATGTTTTTATATGAACCTTGAGAACTTGTGCCAATTCTTCAAGTCACATATTATTAGATAATATCTTCTCTTATACAATAAAAATACAAACCTAAGAATGTGAGAATAAATTTTTCCTAATTGATGAATCGGAAATTTTTTGTCAAGATGTGTTCATAAAGTGGTGAACAATTCTAAATAAAAGAGAGCATAGTAGAAACCAATGATTGTTTAACTTATTTGCTTACGCAACGCTCATCACGTGTTACTGGTTAAAGTTCACCCGACCTATGTATTCAATAACCGGATTGAAATGGATAAAAAATATGAACATGTCGCGCAAAGAACAAAAATTTTGTTTTGAACTATTGGTGAGTTAAATAATGATCGAATTTGACCTCAAGAAGATGGCACTAAGTTTGCTGATGTACGGTCCAGCGACCGAAAACAAACCGAACTATAACGGTTTGATTCGAGTGAATCTGATTCGAATCCGAACTGGTTTTTAGGCAAGAAAGACGAACTGAACCGAACTCGAATCAGTGAAACTCGGTTCAATTCGGCTTCTAGTATGGTCTAATGAAAATGTATGGGTAATAGTAAAGGAATAAGTATGAGGAAAATAATTTTCAAGCTTTCAACAGATAATAATAAGATTGAACAAAAACTGATTGATAAAACTTGCAAGAGATTTGGCGAATTAATAAAATATGGTGAACAACAAATACGTAACATTTAAAGGAGATTTTTATGTCATCAGATTAATATAAGAGTGTTTTATATCTTTTTTTTTAATAAAATATTTTGTTGACCGATTGTGAAAAATTGATACTTACATTCTCATGTTTATATTTTTATTATTAGAAGAGAAGATATTATTCAATAATATGTCATTTCAAAGATTGACATGAGTACTCAAGGTTCATATAAAAACATTGAAATAGAAGTTGTTTTGTGTCTTCATATGAACTCATTTTGTTGTGCCTCAAGTCTTATGAAATGCCTTATATGAATCGAATTGATTATTCAATCTGTCGTATCCTTACAGATATCTTTATTTTAGGTGGTCTCCATGAGTGATTGGATGCAAAGTTATTCAGCATCAAAGAAGTATTTATAATTCTAGACAACATATTGATTTTTTCAAATAAAATAACTATTGTCGATGTCAAAATACTATGTATTTCGATTGTTTTTCAAATATTTCGTAAGCGAAAGCACTTACAATTCTAAGATTTTCACCATCCGAAAGGAAACTTTGGGCGAAGTAAAATACTTGTATATTAGTTTGTCTATGCATTGGTCCAGTGAGGCAACTTTCGCGATGGATGTTGTACAGATATTTTCAAAGACGATTTTTCAATCCAATATTAGCTTCGATTTAGCCAATCGATAATGAATAAATTTTGACTTGAACAAAGCTCAATTGAATACTACCAATTGCTTTTAGTTTCAATATAATGATTGTTATAATTCATTCTATACAATGCTGTGAACGAAAGATAGAATATCATCTAAATCTCGTTGTTTTGAGGCCATATTACTTCAAAATTAAAAATAAATATCATCATTCGATGCATTTTGGTCAAATAACCCCAATTTCATACTTAGATCTGACCAAACGTTCTGAGATCTTTAAATAAAAAGAAATAAAGATAAGAAGATATTTTTAATTTTATTGAATCAAACGTTGAGGATAGTTACCATGATTATTGATATCAAGTTCAATTCTTTCGACACAATTTATTAAAAGTTTTTTTTGAACTGTTTTTCCAAAAAAATTTTAGCTACTTTGGATACCGCATGAGTATATAATATTTCATTTAATTAATTAAACTCTCTTCGATAGAGCTAATTAGTCAAAGATTAAGTAGTATTAGGTACAGCAAATATGCCTGCTGCGGCATTATATTGATGCCCTCTTCTGTCAAATAGTTAATAGCATCGGACGAGTATGAAGTCAACGATAATCCTCAAGCAGTTTTGTACATTTTGCACTTTATACCTCTTTTTGTTTTCATATTACATTTACAAAAGGCTTCAGATAATTTTCAATATAATACTTGTAACCTACTATCATGCCTTTATCTACACTCAGTGCTATTTGATTTAAAGCATATGTCAAACAAAGTTTGTGTTCAAATCTATCTCCATGAACAATAGTCGTTGACGATTCATCCTCAATAAGCCAGCTAGAATCAGATGACTTATGATTAACCTATATAAAATAAATCTATACTTCGTCACTAGTACTACTAGAACGCAAGTGACAACATCTGACAAAACTTCATTAAAATTTGAAAACAAATGAAACATGATTAGCTCATGCGGTATCCAAGGTAGCCAAATTTTTTTTTGAAAAACAGTTCGAAAAAACTTTTAATAAATTATTAGAAAGAATTGAACTTGATATCAATAATTATGGCAACTATCCTCAACATTTGATAAAATAAAATAAAAAATATCTTCTTATCTTTATATTTTTATTTAAAGATCTCGAAACTTTTGGTCAGACCTAAGTATGTCTAACATAATTTATTAAACTTAAACTAAGCGAAAATAAATCAATTTTGTGAATCTTGGCTTTAGTCTAAAAATAAATATTATTAAAAAGGAAAACATTCAAATGATTTTATATCTTCTAAACCAAATATTGAACAAGAAATATCATTATCTTTAAAAAAAAAGAATAAATCTTTGGTCCCTTGAAAAATTCATATTTATATGATATTCATATTGATAGTTATATCGATTCTAGACAAAGTTCTCTTTGTTCTAAAAAGGAAAAAAATTGTCTTAATAATAAACTATATTTTATGTTTGGAGTTCTTGATCAAGATTATTGATCTGATCATCCATATAGATATGATATAGTACAAATAAAACACTTAGATTTTAATACAATTATTGATGTGATGTATCAGGTATACTTGTTTGACAAGATATACCTGTAGATTCCTTTTATGGTTATAAAGTTGAATTCGATGCTGATAAACAATTGTGATTACATCATGATAATAGAGGACGAACGATTTATCACTAGCTCCAATAATATATGAAGATTTATCTATGAATCGGCTATCGACTATGGAAAAAAAACTTTGAATCTAAAGTTCAATTTGAACATGAATTAAAAGCAATGATTGATTTTCTTTCATTTCATCCATCAATTATTATTTGGGTATTATTTAATGAAGAATGAAGCCAATATGATCAAATAAAGTGGTGGACATAAATTTAAGACACTTTTATTTTTGATATAACTCAGCCGCATTTCTAGCTAGAGACCCGATTCTTTCATAGTTAGAAAGATCTTGTCATGGACCATGTAACCTGAAAAAATTGTCAAAATCAAATATGTTTTGGATGAGCTATGGTGAAAACAATTTTACCCCAGCGGACATAAATTTAAGACACTTTTAGTTTTTTGCATTTTTTTACCTAACGATTTTGTTTAAAATATTAGAGTCATATATCAATCGGTACAGAATTTTGTGCTCTACATTTTTTGGAAAAAAATTTTCATCCATCATCAAACTATCGTAGTTTAAAAACTGAATTTTGATTGGTCACAGTGAAAAATGTTGTTTCGAAATGAGTAGGACAATAAAGGCAATCATTCTGAAAAGCAACTAGTGATTAAGATAGAGCGTGAAAAACTGAACAAAATCATGTAATTTTTGTGCAAAAAGAATAATGTTTAAGGATAGATTTGTTATGGTTTTTGTTGATGATGAGTCATCGATTCTCGAATTTAATTTTTTTTTTTCGACCAAAAATTAAGTTTAGAATTTTGAATTTATATGCATTTGGTAGAGAATTAAATTCTCTACAAGATGGGACCTTCCGCATTTCTCTATAACACCTATAAAAATTGTCCGGAACCTAGGAATTGTAGTCCGTATATATGTGAATCTTGGGTCTCCAGAAGTGAACAAAAAATCGCGAATCACAGCGCACTACTGTCCACATGGGACTAAACGGATTGGGTGGATAGTAACAGACTTTGATTCAAGTTTTTCAGTTTACTTCTCGATGATAAAATATACCAGAAAAAGCGACATTTATCGAGCAAAACGAATTTCGCTTATGAACTTCGAACTATCCACAGTAATACAATTTTTGTAGGTATCACAGAGAAATGTGAAAGGTCTCATCTTGTAGAGAATTTAATTCTTTACAAAACGTATATGAATTCAAAATTCTAAACTTAATTTTTGATCGAAAAAAAAGTTAAATTCGAGAATCGATGACTCATCACCACCAAAATGAATAACAAATCTATCCTTAAACATAATTCTTTCTGCACAAAAACTATATGGTTTTGTTCAGTTTTTCACACTCTATCTTAATCGCTAGTTGGTTTTCAAAATTATTGCCTTTATTATCCTACTCATTTCGACACAATATTTTTCACTGTGACCAATCAAAATTCAACTTTTAAACTACTATAGTTTGATGCTGGATCAAAATATCTTTTCCAAAATGTAGAGCATAAAATGCTGCATCGATTGATATATGACTCGAATATTTTAAACAAAAATCGTTAGGTAAAAAAATGCAAAAAACTAAAAGTGTCTTAAATTTATGTCCGCTGGCGCAAAATTGTTTTCACCGTAGTTCATGCAAAACATATCTGATTTTGACAATTTTTTCAGGTAACATAATCTATAACAAGATCTTTCTAACTATGAAAGAATCAGGTCCCTAGCTAGATATGCGGCTGAGTTATAGCAAAAACAAAAGTGTCTTAAATTTATGTCCACCACTTTATGTTTAGAAAACATGGTTGCAGATCAAAATCGTTTAATCAATGCTACTAGTGGATGGCAAGATCGAATAGGTATTGAACATATCACAGATATCTATGATTATACGAGACAGATTTTATTACCATCATTTGATGAAATCTTCTTGGAGTTGATAACCATTATTTAATGACATGTGCATTCAAAATAACTTATTCTTAATCTTTCACTACGTTTATCAGCTATGATTTATACACAATTATCTGATATTGAAAATGAATCGAATGAAATTTTAACATGCAATCGACAAGGAATTAAATCTGTGACTCCGCATGTCATACGTATACTAAGTAATCTTTTTTGTGGCTCTATATAGACAAAACATTTTTTAAAGATATTTACATACATTATATGCGATCATTAGATAATAATGAAGACAAATCTTTTGTACATATCAATGCTTTCTAAATAATTCATACATATCGATTGATTTAAATAAACATATAGTGTTTTATTTGACAATGAAAATATTTCTTCTTTTATGTTATCGAGAAGTAGACTTGATATTCTATTATAACGTGGTACTCTTGTTGATTCAGTACCATTTGGTAAACGAGCTGAAAATAATAAAATAGCTGGTTCAACACCATTAACTGATGCAACTAAATATAATCATCTTGAATGTGTTAAATGTTTATTAGCGCATCATGCGAATCCAAATTATCAAAATTACTCGAGTATATCAGCATTAATACTTGCAGCTAAACTAGGTTATTTTGAATGTGTTAAATTACTTGTACAAGCTGGAGCTGATCTAAAATTGTCATCGAGTAGTAAAAAAAATTCTCTAGAAAACTTTAGGAATTGTTATTTTTTTATAACATTTATAAAATTAATTGATTTATTTCTAGATTCAGTAGCATTAAGATTGAATTTATGTGATCAAACATCATTATTTTATGCAGCAAAGAAGATCGAACAGATATAATTAAATATTTATTAGACGATGAAGCTAATCGACATGTTCAAAATCATTATGGTGTTAGTGCTTTATGCATTCCATCACAAAAAGGCATATTACGAGTTGTTGAATTATTATTAAATGGCGGTACTGAAACACATGTTGCTCCATTTGATAGTCAAGCTGATGAATTAAATATAATTGGTTTTTTAATGTTGGGAAATTACTTCTTAAATGTGATGCAGATCTAAATACAGTAACAAAATTCAGTTCGACATCATTTTTATTGGCATGTGAAATATGTAATTTAGATATAATTGAAGGTGATTCAGAGGCTGATAATTTAAAATGTAATTTGTCAAACAGCATTTTTTTTTGTGGCTATATTAAACAATCGTGTTGATGTTGCAAAGTTTTTAATTGAAAAAAGGAGCAAGAATACATGTACACAATTGTTATAGTGTATCATCATTACTTCTTTCTACTAAATCCAGTAATCGAGAACTTGCTCAAAGTACTTACTAAAGTTACTGCTAATGTTAATATTGCATCGCAAGAAAAATCATCTGAAGAAAATTTCCTTGCTAGACAGGTAAAGTCTTTGTCGTATTTTTGTTGTTGTACTGATCAACTAAATTTTTTATTGACATTAAGATTTAGAGAACTTTAACATATAAGAGTTTACATAGAAATTCTGTCTGTATATGAATGTAGTACGAAGAGAACTCTACATGTTTGTATTATGGTAGTATGAATACAGTGATATTTTCATATGAAAAATTATAATGAAAACTATGTACTCTTATTTTTAGATCAATAAGAAAAATTTTCACTTCTATGTTAATGTGCATACTGCACTTAACGTTCAAACGAAATCGATTCATAATGAATTATATTCTGTTTTCGGTGATCGAACTCCATTTTATAATACAGTTGCCAAATGGTCTTGAGAATGACAAGAATATATCATAGAAAGATAAGAACGCAGCTAAAACGAATATTTATGAATGATTTTTTATTTTATTGAATAAATTGTTTTTAAATAAGAACACGATATTTCGACTTATATTTCAATCTTTATTATTCTTGTATATGTGTATTTATGACTTATTCTTTATTTTTTGTGAATGTAATGTTGTCCATCTATATATGTAACCATAGAACAATATGATATAACTATTGTTATTGTTGTGAGCAGTCAAGGATCATGCTGATACAGTTCGAGTCTTATATCAACATGCTAGAAATGTTTATCAACAATTTGGGGTGGAATGGGTGTGGATGTGAATGAGAAAAAGATAAATACCGATACCCACCCTAAAAGTTACTTAGGGCATTCTAAAAATAGTGAGAGTGACACTTTAATACTGTATAATAAACTTAAAGAAACTTTCTTTTTATACAGTCTAATAGAGAAAAAAAAAGTTCTATCTTTCTATGCTGTTTGATCATACATCAACTAACATTATAATAATGAAGTTTCGATAAGATCTGCTTTGTTCACATGTATCACAATTAGTGAGTATCTTTTGAAGAACTGTTGATAGAAATAAGATAGAGTAGTGCGGTTTTCACCGTTGGAAAAAGGAAACAAAGATGCAGCGAATTGTGTATTGTAGGTTTTTCTAATATTGATTTCTGAAGTATTTTTATTCAATATTCTAACAGCCGGAAAAATGTTTGTTTTGAAAAAAAAATCGAAAAGTGAGCATTTTTAGCAGATTTTGCTAAAAAGTCATATTAGAGGCTCGACTAGAACGCATAACATTCATCTCAGCCTTTAGAATATTGTAGACCTATGATTAGTGGCTTGAATTTATACTTGATAATTGAAAATTCATTGTAAACAACTTACCCGATAAGTTTGTTTTTAAAAAGATCAATTGAAAACTTTATAAAAACAGATTCGGAAACCTGGAATACATAATTCGATGTGTCTTCGTCTCCTCTCTCCAACGGTGAAAACCGCAGTTCTCTATCTTGTTTTTATCAAAAGTTATTCAAAAAATACTCACTCGTATTTGTTAAAATCGGTATTAATACAACCAGCACATATGATAACGAAAAACATCTTATTGAAATTTTATTATTATGATATTAGTTGAAGTATGATCAAATAGCATAGAAAGATAGAGCTTTTTTTTCTATCAGACTGTATAAAAAGAAAGTTTCTTTAAGTTTACTCTCACTATTTTTGGGATGCCCTAAGTAAGAGAGAGAATTTTTTCAGATTACATGTAGATTATAGTATAGTACTCAATTGATGCAAAAACTCTACTTGAATACATTTTCAGAAGGTAGATATAGTCATCTAGAACACACATGGATATCAAATACAGTTGCTGCTCTTTTTGAAAATTTCCATTAAACAGAAAAAATTCAATGTGAAGATTTTTATACACTTGTACAGTCTCTATTAGAGATGATTAAGTGTACGAGAAGCAAACAAAATTATACAGTCATATAAAAAGATCTATGCGAGTCGATTTGAACAATAAGCATTCCTTTTAATGGAACGTTCTTGTCTTGTTTTATAAACAGAACTATGAGCAAAATAGCATTATTGTGAACTTATTTTTGTTTTGCATAAATAAATGAACGTTACAGACCATTTCTCTGCACCCATATCCTCAATATAGTCATTTGGAGTTGGTAGCAAAATCTGATAAGCTCTAGTTATAGTCCTGAGCATTGCTAAGATGTGTATCATTGTTTGTGGATGAAGGTGTAAATTTCTACTCTAGTTTATATCCCAACATTTCTTGTAGATCGTGTTTCGCAAAAAGATAAATAATTCCTTTTTTCTTTTTTTGCGAACAAAAATCATTTGAATTAATTCTTTTGCTTCTTTAAATGCATACAGAAATTCATTCTCTGGAAAATTAAAATTTAATAAAACAGTTGTTTTTTTTTCTAACTTTGTTTGGTCAAGTATCTATTTTATAATAAACAGGAATATTTTCTTTAATTAGTTCTGATGGAGTAAATTCAATGTTTTCGCTCATATGATGAACATATTTCATATCAGATAAAACAAATTGAATCATCGAAATAGCAATTTTTTTTTTGATCATATTCAATATTAATAAGATTTTTCGGCTAAATGAATACAAAACAAAAAAACAAATTATTATTAAAAAATTATTCAAAAGAAAACTTTAAAACCTGTCTATCTAAATAAAAAATTTTACAATGATATAAACAATTGAATCGATCTAATAATTATTATATATATTTCGCTATGTTTTATTCAATTATGATTAGTTATAGACAAAGATAATCAATTAAATATCCATCAAATATTCTATAAATCAAAAAAAGTTTCGAACAAAACAAATTAAATCTATCATCTTACAATTCGGAAATAATTATTGAAAATAAATTTGTTTCAATAAAATGAAATACTCTTACAATTGAATTACATGTCACATTTGATCAAACAAGAGCATTTTCATATAAAACACGTTTATCTAAAATTATTTTATTTTATGTTAAGGTTGTGTGAAGTGTTGGTGTGGGTGTGAGTGAGAATCTTCTCTCCATTTGCTTACACCCACACCCTAATAAATAGAACACAATGAATAATCAAACGATCCATCAACTGCTTCGATTCTAAAATATGCACATAAAGACAACTCTATTGAGATGTTATGAATAATATGTGACATTTTTACTTGAAATAATTTCATGGTAATTTTGACTAACATTAATTAACTAGACTGCACGAAAAAAAGCTCGTTTCTTGGTTTTCTGTATTTTTCTTTAGAGCAGTAAAATAAAATGCATCGTAAGAAGTCACACTCGAATGATTTACTTTTGTATTTCATATATTCATTCCTTTTTTTTCACTTATATGTCCAATCATCTATTTGCATATATATATATATTCAAATAGTGAGAGACATATTCCGCATTGTAAAGTGTGAACACAAACGTACCACTAGTTTTTTTCTACTGTTTTCAACTCATACAATTATCTACCAGTATGCGTACCGTCATTCTTGGAACCCTTCTAATGTTGGTCACTCTGTACATCATGAACGTTGAGAGTATTCTCAAACACAAGCTGTCACTACTCAATCATAAGACAGATCTTGAATTACCTCAAGTATTGCGCGAACTTCTAAACAATGATCAACGCAAATTCAAGAACATGGCTCAACGCCAGTTCAAATTACATTCTGAAAAGCGTGGAGAAAATAAACGAGAAATGAAATGGGAGTATTCCCCAGAGGAGACGGCTTGCATGTGGAGTTGTGTTGACTTCGAATCACAAGAATTTGAAAATTGTTACGACGCATGCGCTGCTAAAATTAACACCAAATAATCAGACAATCTCTTTTTCCCGTTCATTTTTTTTTATACTTGCTAGTTTTTAATCTTTGTTTTCATGTATAACTCAAATTCTATTTATTTACTAGTTTTCTTCACTCATCTATATTACTACGAAATATTCTTTTTACTTTTTTTTTTTATCAATAGAAGCAATTCAATGCGATTAACAGTAAAGAAAATGCTCTCTTACTCACTGCCTCGATGCTTTCTAGGATTAGTCATGTCCAATAACTGAACATTCGATATCTAGGATGTTTGATCTTGTGCGAGATTGCAAGAAAACTCAGACGTTAGTACTCATTTTCATGTACATTTTACTTTCTTGGGGATATAACATATACATGTCCATGACAACTACTGAAAATAACTAATGGTAGATTTTAAACAGTTGTATATTCATGCATGGTATCAAAACTAGTGAATATTTTTTCAAGTCCGTTAAAGTTGACAGATTTAAATCCATTACGATGTGATCACATAATGTTCACGGAAGTGATGTCTGTACTAGCCACAGAGCCCAAATGTGATCCCCCACTTATATGATACATTTTTATTCTAGGTACCATTGAAAAAGTTTTTTATTAGTTAAATGTGTATCCTTAAGCTGTTTTCTTCCTCAAGAAACGTGGATTCTATCTAAGAAATAATTTGAATTTCGTTAGAAAACGCTCTCTGCAATCATCAATAGCTGAAATCAAAACTGTTGAGTACTGCCACCTTTTTTTTTATTAGTACCACTGTAAACAAAGAGTGCGAATAAATGTGTGACATTGGTGAAGTTCACTGTGAATACCGATGCCATTTTCCTGTTATTTCAAAATAAATTTAAATACAAAAAGAATTCGAAAATGAAGAAAAATTTAACTTGAAATAAATTTAAATGAGATCGATCTTGTTATTTCTTAAATTAATAATT